TGGCAAGTTATCCTTATCCTCTGAGCATTTTTCTGCATTATCTTCAGATCCATGCTTTACCTTTTGCAAAATGTATGTAATTTTAGATTGCTTGCTTCTAGTTAAAAGATCTTTATAAATTTCCTTATATGGTGCTAAGCACTTATGAAGAATAAAGCAAGTATGGAATAAGGGAAAAACATCTGGCAACACCAAAATCAAAAGCGTCGCGATCTGGCAACATTGAAACAAGTTTCGAGAAGGACCACCTGTATCGACAGAAGGCGAGAAGAGAAAATTTACATACTTAAGTACTAATAGTTCACGAAAATTATTATTTTTGTGAACTATTATTAGTGAAGTATGTAAAAATTTATTACATTTCCTGGTTTTACCCAATTCTCGAACCGTGTCAGAATGAATCCGTGCTATAGAAGTGCCGTATTATACGGGGGTTACCTGTAGTTGAAAATGATTATATCAATACAAGATAAATATTTCAATTTTCATATACATTTATAGGTAATCGCCAGACTGTTGGCCTCATCCAGTCCAGTTCTTTACTGGGTTGCAGCTAGAACCGTCAGCGAAGAGATATCAAAGGACCACCCGGTTGTGGGTAAATCAGAGTTCTCTGTAAAACTCTCTCAATTAATTTCAGTACCCAACAACTACATCACTTGGCACGATCCAAGAACAAAACTGATATTTGCTTATTTTTTGCTCTACTTTTTGTTTGGAATTATTATTCATGTGAATTATTTACCTTGGACGTAAGAAAATTCCATTTAAGAACTGTGACTAAAATATTTATAACTCAGTATCAACACAGAAAGCAAAAGTAATTAAATTACATGATTATTTACAATTTTTATTAAAAAGTTTCCATTTGTATATATGACTAAAATCACTTAGAATGGCAATCTTTGTGTTAGACAATGAAAATATAATGCCCAAAAAAATGTATTGATTTACCAAAATGCATGAAAAATAAATACTTCTGTAACAAAAGTGGTGTTTCAAATTTTTTAAACAATTCAGAGACAAATACATTGAATTTTCCTTCTGAAATACTACAATATAAAATTGGTTACAGCGTCACCAAACAAGACTCAAAAGAAAAACTGGATTTAAAAAAAATTACAACGGCCTTCCCTTGACAGATCCTGATTTAGTCGCCATCAACCTCTCTGTTATTGTTTTCGCATATCGTAACCTAGATGCCAATTCACGCGTGCATCCATACTTTGTAATTAAGTTGAGACGATAAGTTTTGAAATCTCTTTTTCCATCTATATAAGACACAGCACCCATCAATGGGCATAAGATGATCTTGGTATGATCGTCAAAGAAATTGATCTAAAAAAATTTATAATTGTTAAAATTAATGCATTGAATAGTTTTTAAATTAAAAACACTACAATATGTATTAATAATACCTGAAGTGTTCCATTTGCTAGATGGAGAACAATTGCACTTTTTGTTCTAAACCAGGCACGTAGATGCGGAAGACGAGAAATCTCGTCACCTTCGCGTGGTACAATGCTTTCACCAGCCTTTAATAGATGTTCATTCATGTAATTTTGAAAATATTTCAGCAGTGTTACTTTTTTAGAAATAGTTTGAGGATAATCTTGAAGTGTGTAGAAATACTCATTGCCATTCCTTTCAATATAATGAAAATTTCTAGAAAAAGAATAATGTAAAAATCTTATAAATTTTAAATATTTACAAAGTTTCAGTAAATAAAATTATACAAACAGTATTAGTATCAAATATAGTGCATTTTGTTCACATTCAAGCAATATTCCAATTCTTTCTGAACAATTTTGATAGATACTCATTTTGCTTGCTTTCTTCTAATTATCAATCTCTAATGATGAATAATCTTACAATATGTGTTTTTCATCAAACTACTATCTATTGAAACTTCAAAAATAGTTTAAATCTTCTAAAACTATTTTTAAGCACCACTTATAGCATCATAAAACTCTAATTATACTTAATTTGTGGTGAGTATAACATCAAATTTTAAAGAATATAAATTATTTAGTCTCCATGTTTTGTCTCCTTAAATTATAGCTACATGTTCACTAATTATTGTTTAGATATTATTCATTTTTCCAACTATAAACATTAAAATTCTTTAACATTTTCTAAAAATAAGTTGGAATGAACATTTTAGAGCGTTAAAAATGATTTTAAGAGTGCAATAATATTCATATTTTTCTTATCACAATATCAAAACAAGAAGTTGCATACTTCTCCAGTGAAAAATATTTATATTTAAGGAAAAGATATACAGTAGAACCTCGAAAACTCGGCTCTCGATAACCCGGCACTCCGGATAACTCGGCCACACCCTGGCAGGGCAAAAAAATCCTTAGTTAATTAATTTTCATTATAGACAGCTTTATAAAAGTATAAAAGCTCTCATAAAGTATTTTTCTGAGGTCTGTCTTATCAGGTAAATTACTGTACACAGTGTATTCATTAATTTTCATTTTCATGTAGTAAAGGCTCTATGCCTTCATAAAGGACGTACTTTTCCTTTGTTTAAGGGTATTTGGGCAGTTTATTCTCTGTTATATTCTCAAGTAAACAATACATACAAGTACAGTACAGTATTTTCTGAGGAAACACTCGTACTTATTTTTTTTAACCCCATTCCCGATAACCCGGCATTTTCACAAACTCGGCCACCCTTCGGTCCACATTAGGCCGAGTTTTCGAGGTTCTACTGTATTAGCATAAAGTTAAAATTGTATGTGGTGCCATCTGTTACAAAGTTTCATTAAAACTTATAATATTAGAAAAAGGCAAAAGGCTTAATTTTGAGGGTAGAGAATGGTTTCATAAAAAGAAAGTTGTAAATGCCAATAAATAATAATTTCATTAAATCTTGACTCCACTTGCAGTAAGACATGACCTCTTATCTATCCCATCCTTGACCTTTAACAACCAAAATTATTGGGTTGTAAGGAAAGTTTGTTTTTTTTCCCATGGAAAAAAACACAATGTTTTTATAATAAATATTTTATTGAATTATATATCAACCATTTTGGTCAAATAATTGTCATCGTTTCTGGTAGTAGCATGATTTCACATTCATAAAAGTTTTGGTCACTGCTTACAAAAAAACTGATTCAAGTGATTTTTGACATTGTCATTTTAAGTAAATGTTAAAAAATTAAAAAAAAATTTGTATAGACAAGAACAAGTAATAATCTGAGTGTGCTCGATCTGGCGAATATGGTTGGTGTGATAGCAGGTTCCATCTAAGTTATAACAGCTTCTGACGAATTACCAAACTTGTGTGAAATTTGACATTATCATGGTAAAACACTATGCCTGTTTTGTTGATCAATTCTGGCTGCCTTTTATGTTTGATGATATTACTCAATTTGTTTACTCGATGGCAGTACACTTTCGAATCAATTGTTAAATTGTCTGGTAAAAGCGCCAAAAAAAAATTTCCTTAAAATCCCACCAAAGAGAGCATTTCTCTTTAAGAACATGTGGAACCCATATATCAAGCTTTGAAACAAAACCAATTTGCTTCAAGTAATCATAAACAATTCAATTTGACAAATTTAATCTCTTCGTGATTTCACGTGTTGTTATTTGGCAGTTTGCTTCAATTATTACCTTTATTTTGTTTTCATTGGCTTCAATTGGCCATCCAGAATGTGGTGCATCTTCAATATTGAAATTGCCAGAATGAAATTTTGTAAACCAGTTTTGGCACTATCTTTCAACACATTTTCTCCATACACGTCACACAATTTTTTCTTGCTTGAACAGCATTCTTACCCCTTTGGTAATAAAAGAGCAAAATATGCCAAAAATGCTGCTTCCGATCTTCCAAATTTGATGGGACACAAAAAATAAACAATTGCACAAAATCAAAATTTTTTACAAATAAGCCTTAAAATGCTAGCTGTCAAAATATATAAAGATAATACGTTTTAGAATGAAAATGGCGGGAAAAATACGACTAATCCATCCAGTGGAAAAAAAACGAACTTACTTTCTGAACAACCTAATATCAATCAATGCTCCTTATATGCAAGTGTAGTGAATGGTCACTAAATGTATTTTATTGTAATTTTTGTGTTCAATTTGGTGTATTAATATTAGTTATGTAATTTGTTTTGTGTTTGCAAATGGAGAAACAGGAATGAATTCCGTTTCATATAAAAACCACCCTCGGGAGGCATTGTATGTCACATACCACCATTTGATGGGTGAGGCTTGTAATTGGTTATTTGACAAGTTACATGTGTAGTTAAGTTCCGGATGATGCGAGCTTTTAAATAGTGTGTATCATGTGTGGTTGGGCACATTTTCTCTTGGATATTCACCTGGACTGGACTCATAAGGACTGATTGAGTGAGAAGAGAAGGTAAGGGTTATTCACTCATCACATGGAAGGCAAGCAGTGGACTGGTGAGGTTGAGAAGAAGGAATCCATCTCCATCAACGCAAAAACACTGCATGTGTCCTATACAATAGGAACACCACGTGGTAGAGTAGATATTTGTCCAACCGTCATAATTATTATGTTTATGGAAACCCTTTCAACACATGTTGTTACATCTTGTTAGTGGGGTGAATCATCGTCTGTGAATATCTTTGTATCCGATTAGGTTAAGTTTACATTTTCCTTTGTCTTCCTTTTTTTTCTTGTTCTGTTGTTATAATAAAATTCATAATTCATGTGCCTTGTGAAGTTTTCATTATCCCTACCTGATAAAAAAAATGTCTAGATCGTTTTGACCATCCAAGACACTACACAAGTTACCATGCAAACTTTTGCTTCTTAATCTTTATCCTATCCTGGGATATTAAAATGAAATAAACACACACCTGCAGAATTTTCCCTCATTTTGACATAAAATGTAGAGATTTTCAAAAAACCCTCACAGTTGAATTTGACATTATTGCAATATTTTCCCATGTTATATACATGAATGTTGACTTTTCCAGTTTTACTTTCATAATTATTTATTTTCCTATTCTGTTTATTCAAATGATTTATATTAAACATTTACAAATAATTAATAAAGGCAAGAAGCTTTTTTTATATATTACAAAAACAAAGTTGCTTAGGACTAATGAACAGGCTTATTATACTCCTAGCATATTTAATCAACCTTTCCAAAATGCATTTTGGTCTGGCACTTTTTCAATTGGATAACATACAAAAAATAAATGGCCAGTAATGCATTTTGGAAAGGTTAATTAAATATGCCAGAGGTATAATAAGCCTGTTCATTAGTCGTAAGTATGTTTTTGTAATTTACAAATAAATTTATGAAAAAAGAAATAAATGTATGTTTATTTCCCAATAAATTCCTGAAAATCGCTGAAATATTTTGCAATACGAATACTTGAAATTTAAATATGTATTTTGGAAAGGTTAATTAAATATGCCAGGGGTATAATAAGCCTGTTCATTAGTCCTAAGTACGTTTTTGTAATTTACAAATAAATTTATGAAAAAAGAAATAAATGTAGATATATATGTATTTTAACAATAAATAATTTAAGAACTTACTGGCCATCAGCTAAAAGAATTATCCTAGTGTTATCATTGAATAATACACCAACACTGTTATCACACAACTGATAACCTAAACCATATTTGTCAGTGTAATCCACCCACTTGCTGACCCAGAATATTGGAACAGCTGCTGGATCTTCTGCTTCATCTAAAAAAGAAATTTTTTTATGCATAATATTCAACTCTACAAACTATCCATAATATTCACAATTATTGTGAATTATGATTTTTCAGAGTAC